GGACAGACTCATGAATTTATAATTTATGTGATAATGCATTGCAAAAAACAAATTGACGTCAGTTTTCTATGCATCTTGTCCTGTGGATCCACGGCTACTTTGACAATGTTATGACAAACTCAGACAGATGCATGCATGAAAAACTGATGTCGATTTGTTAACTGGAAGATGTATGAAGGTGTTGAGGAGCTGAGAACCGTGTCCACCATTTGCTGTTGTATGATTGTGGGACACTGGTATTCTTGTTGTGGTGCTAATTGGATGAGGGTGCTAAATTGAATCACTATGGTACGACTAACACTGCCATGCCTTATAATAATTGCCAAAAAGTACTAATTAAAAAAACTGAAACAAAACTGTCAGTGACTCGGTTTTTGATAATAGATAGCGACTGGTTTTTGCTAAATCCTAATTAAAAACAGTGGGACTGCTCACTCATGCTTTTTGTTGAGGTTGACAACATTTACATATCATAGATAAGAAGATTTCATATCTCTCCACAGCATTTTCCTCTGTACCGTCAAACAGAAGCAATCTGTACAGGAGTTGATGCTCCACCTCCCGAGGAAAAGCAATCCAGGAATAGAGAAAAATGGGAAGTAGTATCCAAAGAAATGTCTTACAGACTTCTTTCACTGATTAGGCCCCGACTGGTGTTGAGTGGCCACACCCATCATGGCTGCTATCTGGTGCACAAGGATGGCACCCCAGAAATGACAATTCCATCATTCAGTTGGAGAAACAGGAATAATCCAAGCTTTGTGCTGGTATGTGGATCAAGTAACATTTGTGAAGTTGTATTTAAAACTGTGCAAGATTTGTAGGGTTTATACAGTTAGACCCCACTAATTTGAACTCAGTTGTTTGAATTCCCCGTTATTTTGAAGTCAAAACCATTTCGCTTGGATTTTCCCTTCAGTTGAATTTACTATCGACTATTTTGAACTCCCCCCATTTAAAACTATTTTTCATTTCCCCAGAGTTCGAAATAGCAAGATTCAGCTGTAGTAACGTATTTCCACTGGGGCCCTCACTCCCAAATGGCCCAAACCCTGCGCAAGCTAAGCATAGGTTAAGGGCAGAAGTGAGAAAGAAGTGGGATTGAAGAAAAAAATCAAGTTATCACTGCAGGGAAGAGGAAACTCTGTCAAACTTTAGTCTTTTGTCTGTTTTAAAATCACAACGAATAAAATAGAAACCCAGCCTTTTCACACCAACACTTACTGGAATTAGAATAACCTTGAATTCTAGCTAGTAAGGGGTGTTTATATGAAATTTCCCTAGTGAGAGTATTGAATGTGTTGTCTAGAGTTTGAAACTGGCCATTCATCTGCTGTAAATTTAATGAAAAACAATCTTTCCAACTTAAAAGAGCCTCTCTTCCCAGGGGAGCCCTAAGAAAGCAGGATTATAACACAATCATGTTGTATCTATATATCTTTACCCCTCCCATGGAAGGTTTTTTGGTTTCTTCCCTGCCCCCCTGCTTATTTACCACTATGGAAATTCCAGATTAGGTATAAAAACCTTAGCTTTTGAAAGCCCCCTCAAAAACCTCACAATTTTCAATGATCTTCCCGGCCGTCACTGTGTATGGATGTTTTTTGGAACTTCCAATTCAGTTTTAATAGTTTAAGTTTTTTGTATCTGTTTCTGTTGCTATTGCTGTTGTTTTGTGCTCAAACAGAAGCAATGCTAAGTAATAATTTACTAACAAGTTCATTCTTGCCTCTATTTCCCTTTGCAGAGCATCATAACCCCAGACAAGTTTGCCTTGTCAAAGTGTTTCATTCCACGGGAGAGCACTGTTATTGCTATGTACATTATAGCTGGAGTTCTGTTCATTTTGATGATTTTGAGACTTACATATCTATGCCTAAAATCTCATAGAAAATACAGACTTTTTATATACAATTCTTGCATAAGATAACGTTAGTTTTTGTTTACAATAAATTATAGGTGTTTTTAAGGAACTTTATGACTGAATTTTAAATTTTTCATCTGAATTTTAAATTTTTCACTTAGATGAATGAAATTACTCATCATTTTGTAACTCTCAAATATTTGCAATGTGTCTGCTGTGTTTTTATCTTATTTTGTGCACCAATTCTGCCTATTTCAATTCTTCTGCATCAATTTTTTTTGTCTGCTCAGACAAGCAATGTGAACACAGTCAGTCAGTCAGTCAGTCAGTCAGTTCCTTCAGCAAATTTATTTATGCCAATCAGGGATTTATCTTTGCTTATTCCTCTTTCGGATAGTTTTTGGATCTGTTTCACAGGTCTAGACCTTCAGCAAAATTCACTCCTGATAATCAGGAATTGATTCTTCCTTCTTTCTCTTTTGGATCTTTTTTCTGGATCTTTTCCAATAAGAACTGCTCACAGCTGTTGACAGAGTATTCCCTCTGGAAACTTTACTCCTAATTCATACTTCCTTCTTCCTGTTGTGGGTAATTGACAATGTTTTGCTTTCGATGGGGATCAGCACTCGGTGATTTAGTTCCTTCCGATTCGTGCTGAAGGGAAGTTTAAATTAATCGAGTTGTAACGTAATTCACTTCCCTGTGCTTTTTTCGTGAGAATGAGGTAATTATTCCCTATTTCGATCCTAACCAACGATCAGGCGTTCTTTTTTTCACAGCAGGGGGAAGGAGAAAAAAAGAACGTCTGATACAATTGCTTCACGAGTCGTCTGCCCGTAGTCCAGAATCTGGACTTTTTTCTGATTGGTCATAAAACAGAAGAGTCTTTAAGCCTGCCTTTCTGATTGGTTACGCGATTGGATATCTGACTTCCGTTGCAATTTCAAAAAAAGAACGCCTGATTCGATCCCCCGGACATCCGTTCCTGCAGGCGAGAACAATTATACCGGTAGAACCTCGTTTTCTCGAACTCCACCATATCTCGAACTCAAATTAAATTCTTGCTTGCGCTTTGTCTGAGCGTATAGGTCTCCAAGTATACTCTCGATTTACATGTCGTACTTAGGACAGGTGATAGATTGACAAGAATCTTTATTATGTCGAAAACGAGTTTTTACTCTTCAGTTGCCAAACGCCTTCCTTTCACTGGCTGAAGGTTGATTAACACCAAGCAATACTTAGCCAGGAACATTTTGTCTAAAGATTAATTGCAATAAACATGATAAACACCGTTCAGCTCTTCTGGAAAGTCGTTAACGTGCGCGCATTAACAATTAATATTTTTAATTTGGCGAGTCCTCTTTGTTTTTGCTTTGTGCCTCCAGGAAAATAGATTTAGTCTTTTTTTCTTTTATCAGTATAATTAAGATTAATTAAGGCACATTCAGAGTTTTTCATTCTAAACACGATCACAAAGACGTGATGACTCCGGATAAAGAAATAATCGGCGTTCCTTGCCGAATAATGATCTAGCGACAGCCGAGTTCGATTTATTTCCAGGGGCTCCGACTTATCCCCTGAAGAAAATGACTTTTATTTTTTTTAAATTTTGACGACTTCTGAATTTATCGTCATTGAGGTCACGAAGATAAGAGTCATGTCTTTATCTAAAGACTAAAATTGATTACATTGCTTTTATTGGTTCTCTTTTTAACAACCATTAAGTAGCTACTCTTTGTTTTGACCGTTTCCCACAAAGGTATAAGGTAAGACGCCAGAGATCTTTACCACGCCCTTTTAAGATTCATATTTCCTTTCTTTTCACAAGGGAATGCAAAAATTTAAATTCGTATTTTCAGTAAATGCGTCCGAGAACTTAAACGTTTGTCTTAATTTAGATGTATATTGGATCATTTATTTATTTATTTTCATAACCCACGTTCATCGAAAAGCCTTCAAATAACTGTACTACTTTTGTACAAATCATAGAATAAAAACATGGAAGTATCGCGTCAAAGAAAAATTAGACGAAATCTACTTTCGGACCGAATTATTTAAGTTGTGTTTGACAGTGACAACATTGATCACACACTGAAGCTCAGTGTAATATAAAAACTATAACTCGCAATAAAATAGTCACAATTCTCACGATTGGCCTTTTTTTGTTTTGTTCAGGGGCACCCAACGACCGTTTTCTCTCCAATGCTTTAAAACGCTGTTTTAGGCTATCTGGAGTACTTTTAAAGCTCTGTAGGTTAATTTTAGGTTGCGCTAAAAGAAATTTATCTGTTCGGTTATTCCAGGGGAACTTGAGTGTTCTCGAATTTATTAGGGCTTTTTAGTCCATTTCCCGAAAACCTTAGGTCTTATCGCCTTTCCGAAAATGATAACTGACCTTTTTTCGGTACCCAAAAC